AACCCGAACGGATCTCAGGTCCCTTGGTATCGAGCATGACAGCAACGTGCTTGCCGGGGCACTGCTTGAGAGCCTCCTTAAGGTTGGCAAGGCACTTACTGTGGCTCTCAAAGTCACCGTGGGAGAAGTTGAACCTAGCGATGTTGAGTCCCTGGTTAATCATCTTGACCAAAGTCTCGACATCCCAATCAGAGGGACCCATAGTGCAGGTAAGAGTGGTCTTACGAGTGATGGGGTCACAGCTGGAACCATCCCAGGCAGCAAGGTCAGCCATCTGATCGGTGATACAGACGGCGGCCTGACCGAGAACACTGTGGTTCTTCATAGAGCGTCCGCTGAAGCCGTGAGACATTGTTTTTTCGAGAAATGAACTGAAAGCAAACCAATCCACAGCTACATAATCACAATACTCTAGATAAGCTCTTCATCCCGGCTGTTCATAGCTGTCGCTCAGCTGAAATGGCCAAGAGACACTGCCGAGACACCGAGTGAATGCGAACCACGTTGAAGCGCTTGACACTGCGCAGCTCAATAAGTGAGCACACAAGCACGCTGTCCCAAAGCTTACATAATTACTCCTGAGAATGGGGCTAAAGCATCATGTATAATAATAGATGTCATTGAATGTTTGGTATGTAGCCTTCTTTAGAAGTCTGTCAGATGTACGAGGTCAAAGTGGACGATGTCAAGTCATCACATCGTCTTGGGCTATCGCCAATGATCATGTCCGACCATCTCACGATCACCAATGATCATGTCCGACCATTTCACGACCACCAATGATCATGTCCGACCATCTCACGATCACCAACGATCATGTCCGACCATCTCACGATCACCAATGATCATGTCCGACCATCTCACGATCACCAGTGATCATGTCCGACCATCTCACGATCACCAGTGATCATGTCCGACCATCTCACGATCACCAACGATCATGTCCGACCATCTCACGATCACCAATGATCATGTCCGACCATCTCACGATCACCAATGATCATGTCCGATCATCCCACAATCATCAACGATCATGTGTGACCATCAAACAGCCATCAATGATCATACCCGTCAAACCTGAAGCGTCATTAAGTGGAACCTAGCGATGTTGAGTCCTTGATTGATCATCTTGACCAAAGTCCCGACATCCCAATCAGAGGGACCCATAGTGCAGGTAAGAGTGGTCTTACGAGTGATGGGGTCACAGCTGGAACCATCCCAGGCAGCAAGGTCAGCCATCTGATCGGTGATACAGACGGCGGCCTGACCGAGCACACTGGTTCTCCCAGACCTTAGCGAAGCATCACGCTCACTACCCGAAGACCGTGACTAAGTCAACACACTTAAGATGAAATGCAAGGAACACGGAATCACCGAAATAATTGCCTTAAACAGGCAAAGCCCTCACGTGAGAGGAGCACAATTATTATGCCAAATTGTTCAGAAAGGCAGTGTTTCAATCGAGAAACAAGGTGCAATCATTGTCGAGAACAGCTTACTCAACATTGACAACTTCCATCATGTTGGTGGCACCAGCAGTGTTCTCCTTGATACCGTGAACGGCAACAACCTTATCACCAACCTTCACGAGGCCAACAGACTTGGCGTACTCGAGGGCCTTGGCAATGACAGTCTCGGTATCCTTAAGGGACTCAACCTGGAAGGGGAGGATACCACGAGCCACAGCGGTGTGG